CCCCCCCCCGCTCCCGTTTCTGTGTCTCTTGGTGTCTCTTTTTCTCCCCTTTCTCTGAATATTTGTCCCCCCATCTCTGCCCTCACCCCTCTGAGACTCTGGCCTCTCTTTTCCAAGTCTCTGCCCCATTGTTCTCTGAATCTGTCCCCTCCTTCTGAGTCTTTGCCCCTCTTCTCTCTAAGCCTGACTCTCCTATCCCCTGACCGTGTCTCACCACCCCCAGTCTCTTTCTCTTGGTCTCTGACTTTTTTCTCAGGGGTTTGCCTCTCTCGCTGGGTCTCTCCCCCCCCCCCCATTGGATCTCTGTCCCCCTCTCTCTGGGCCTCTGTCCCCTCTCCGTGGATTTCTGTCCTCTCCAGGTCTCTGTTCCTTCTCTTTGTGTCTCTGTCCTCCACTGCCCCTCTCCTCCAGCTCTACTCCCCCCACTTTCTGGGTCTCTGCCCATTCATCTGAGTCTCCATTCCCTCTTATTCTGACAACCTCCCTCCCCCTGTCTTTTCCCCTCCTCCCTCTTTCCTCCTTCTGTCTCTGCCTTTTCTCTTTCTCTCTGTCCCCTCCCCGGATCTCTATCCCCGCCTCCCCTCGTGTCTCTTTCACCCTCTTCTGAGTCTCTCCCCCCTTTCTGGGTCTCTGTTTTCACTTCTTTGGGACTCTGTCCCGCTGTCCTTCGGTCTCTGTCCCTTTCTCTGGATCTCTGTCCCTTTCTCTCATGCCCCCCCCTTTACCCCCTCTAACCCCCATCCTGGCCAGGACTCGAGGCTGCGTCACTGCAGAGAGAGTTGCAGAAGTTGGGCCTGTCCTGCGGACCAGGGAGGTAGTTTCCCTCACCCACCCCCCCCCCCGGAAACTGGGCTCCCCCACTGCCCCCGATCCAGTATCCTCGGGCAGTCCTCAATCCCCCAGTGGGACCCAGGAGGGCAGAGAAAAGACATTGGGGCTTCCTGCTCCTCTCTGCCCCCAATTCTGGTGTATCCCCGGGCAGAAGCAGTGAATCCTAAGGTGAGGGACTGGGCTTGGGTTGAGTGAGGCTTCTGGGCAAGTCCAGGGTGTGGGTGGAGGCTGGAGCAGGGGTTGGGTAGGCACCAGGGGCTGGGAGGAGGGGCTAGGGTAGGGTCCTAAGTCAGCCATCCTCCTTTATACCCCACCTCCCTCTACTTTTCTCCTGTGCTTTTGACAGCAGCCAGGCACGAGATACAAGTTACCAAATCAGCATTTTTGCAGAGGTCAGAAGGTGGGGGAGAAGGTGCGGGCCGGGGGGGGGGGGGTTGGAATAGGGCAGAATGTAGAATGAAACTCGGGATTAGAGGAGGGAGGAGGCAGCGGGCAAGGCGTAAGAAGATGGTCCACTCCATCAGGCCCTGGGAAATTTGGATGCCGTCACTCCCTCACGGCCCTCCCCAGGCCCTACCAGGGTAGCTGGGGGATATGTGAGCCTGGATTCTCCACCCATCGGAGGGCTTCTGGAGGCACGAGGAGGGCTCAGGTGACGGGCACCCAGCCCTGCAAACGGACCAGGGACAAGTGGACACCAGAAAGGGGGGAGGCCAGTGTCTGTCCACGTCTTCAGACCCTTTCCCCACCCCTCCTCCTTCCCAATCTATCCTTTCCCAGGTCCTCAAGGCACAAAATTCCTGAAAGCTCCAAAGTCCCACCTCGGCACCCCCTCCTAACTCTCCCTGCCCCATTCCCGAAGGCCCTGGAATTGGGGAAGGGTCTTCCCCTTCCGGACTTCTAGTACCCCTTCTGTGTTCCTCCGCTCCCATTCCTCTCCGTGCCAAATCCAGGAAAGAGGGTCTCCCGGACACTAAACCTGAAAATATGGGGACTCTGCCTACGATTCTTGGTGCCCCGAGTACCAAGTACCTTGGCCCCCAAAGCCCGTTATTGAGGGAGATCTCTCCGCTGTAATCTGAGTGCCCGTTTCCCGAGTCCCCCGCATCCAAAACTAGAATTTGGACTGTCTTACCGCCCCCGGACCCTTGAGCCTTCTCCCCCTCCCCCGTACTCACCCCAAGTCGAGGCGGGGCGGGGATGGGGGAATCCAGGGCTGGCGATGGGGGGAGGGGTGACCCAGACCCAGCAGCTCTGGGCAGCAAGAGGCTGCAGAGGGGGGAGTGACATCATCGCCGGAGGAGGGGCAGCACAGCTCCCCCGAACCCGGGGGCTTCAAGCCCCGCCTTTATGGCGGACCCAGGGGTCCCGGAATCCCACGGGGAGAGAAGAGGAACAGGAGATGAAGTTGCGGGAATGGTATCCCCTCCGCTTAGAACAAGGATTGGAAAACGCTTTACGATTTCAGCCACCCCCCACTGCCACCTGTCGCTGCCGTCGTGACCTGTCGCCTCCCACGCATGTTGTGGCTGCATCCGCCTCCAGCAGGGCGTGAACACGTCTTGGACTACAACGTCCGTGTTGCTCCGCGGTGCCGGGCGCCTGAGATGAGAGGCAGTGTAGGCGCGAGGCTTCATGGGATTCGTAGTCTAAGACTCCCGCAGCAGTGTGAGCCCTGGAGAAAAAGAGCGATACCTTTCGCCTCTCTTTCTTCGTCAACTCTAGAGAGCCGGACACTACTTTTTCTGTCCTAGACACACGCGCTTGAAAAAAAGAAGCGACCCAGGTAGCTTTAACGGAAATAATGGCTTTTTACTGAGTCGTGGGCCCTCTGCTACGACCCGTTGCGCATGCGCCTAACCAGGGCGTCAACCGGAGAACTGCGCCTGCGCGGGCCCACCCCCTCGACGTCACGCTCCGCGAGGACGAGCGCGCGCCAGCCCCACTCGGGCAGCGCCTTTCATGTCCCCACGGTCGAAGACGGCCACGTAGCTGCCCAAGAAGACATCGCCGAGGATCCAGAGGGGCCCTGCGGGCGGAGGCACATCCAGGGCCTGGAAGCCGGACAAGCAGAGGCGGACGCCACCCCGAGCAATCTGCAAGGCGACAATATGAGCCACGCATGGGGTGCCACGCCCACCGGGCCCGCCTCTTCCCTGGGGGCCAGAGCTTCGCCCCGCCCATCACCCCGGGCACTAGAAACGTTTCTGTGGCCCCTGCTTGATCCTAGTGAGGTCTCACTCCCAGCTCCACCCCCTCAAGCTCCATCGTATTGCATCACTCTGACGTCATTAAGACGGCCACCTACCTGGATGACGTAGTCCTGGGCCGTGAGGTTAAACCAGACTCCCCCAAGGAGGAAGGAGACTGGAGGGAGCGTTGGGATTTGGGAGCACTGGATGAGGTACTGAGGGAGAAGAGGAACAAGAGGAGGTGAGGGAGTCCTGCTCTGCTCAGTCCCTTCCGTGGCTCCCGGAAGGGTCATGTCCATATTGGGCAGCTAGGTATTCAGGGCCTTGTGTGGTCAGGGTCTGCTGCCTTCTCTAGCCTTATGGGCTCTTCCCTCACCCCTATGTAATTGTCACTTCGTCTAGGCTCTTATTCGACCAAACCCTGTTTTCCTCCAAAACTGGTGGCCCACGGGCCACACTGGGCCCACAGGTGTATTTACTTTGTCTTAGACTGTGCCTAAAATGTTTTAAAAATTAGTCACCAACTGTACACCATGCTGGTACAGGTTGTATCCCGTGGAGTCTGCTGCTGTGCAATCTTAGGCAAGTTACTTAACCTTGCTGTGCCTCAGTTTCCAATAGGAAGATGTAGATGATGATAATGCTTATCTCATAGGGATGTTGCGTGAGAAATAAATGAGTTCGCTTGGAAGAATGCTTGACACATAGTCAGTGCTATTATTATTTACAAACCGGGAGCTTTCAAATAATATCTTCACGTTTCTCCAACAAACGAGACGATCTGGCTTTCCCTCCATGGCAATACTTGGCTGGAGCCGAGTAGCTGAGAGCTGCCCTTTTTAGATTGACAGGGCATGTACTCTCCAGTCTGCCTCAAATCCCCCCCCTCCCAAGTACCAAGTAATTAAGCTATTATTAATAACAACATTAGGTTATTAAGAAGTTATTAATAACACAATATTAGGCTATTATTAATACCTACCAAGAAGTTTATCTTCCTTAAAAACCAATCGTAATTCCCTTGTTGGGGAGGTAAAGAATGGCGAAAACAAGGTTGAATCAGAGAGTGTATAACTCTCTTGAAAGGAGAAATGCTCACAGCCACAACAGACAGGCATCAAAGCATTGTTCTAAGCGCCTTGAGTGGATTACTTGATTCAGTCCTCACAACATACCTAAGAGGTGAGTATTAGTAACCCTATTTTAGAGATAAGAAAACCGAGGCAGAGGAATGTGAAGTGACTTGTCCAGGACAACACAGCTAGTAAACAGCAGAGCCAGATTCCCACCCAGGTGACCCACGCCCATAACCACTCGGATCCACCTGGTTCCCTTGGCTCATTACAAGCCTGCACCCTGGGGGTTGGATTTGGAGCCTCAGGAACTGAGTTTCCTCCACCCTCCCAGAAGCGCCCAAGAGCGCAGTGATAGAGTCACAGAAATTCGGACCTGGAAGGACCCTGCTCCTGCTCAGAATCTGCAGGCCCTCCTGGGGTGGAAGTGGGTGGTCACCGTGCCCCGCTCCGTGCTTGGAACACTCTTCCTGCAGCTTCTGTGAGCCTACAGTGTCCTGTCTCCTTTCACTCCGTGTGGTGTTCCCTGAGGCTGCTCCTGGGACCTCTTCTCTCGCCCAGGGAGGGCTCCCCACCTCTGTGGCTCTGATTACTGTCTAAGGGCTGATGGCCCCTGAGTATGATTCCCGAGCTGCGTCCACACCACCCCCTGATGTCCCCAGGCCCCCTAGTCTTCTCACTCCCAACCAATCCTGAATAAACCTGCATTATCTCCTCCCATCCATGGAGTCACTCAGTAGACGCTTGGGAGGTGTCCTTGCTTCCTCCCCCGTCCCTCCAGCCTGTCACTCACAAGGTTCAGTGCCTTCTGTCCTAGAATACCTCCTAGCCATCTGATTCCCACCCTCAGGCCTCAGTGTCCTGTCCAATGTCCATCATGAAACTGCCATCAACTTCTCCAGCCCACATCCACCAGACACCATGTCCTCACCTCCCCTGCTAGCAGAGGGATTCCCCCAATGGCTACATGCAGGGCCCGGATCTCCTCAGTGGGTCCCGTGATGAGAGACGTGCCCGTGTCCAGAATGGCAGCACACCCCTGGGCACAAAGAGTCAGCCCTGTGCCCACCTTCACACTGTGAGGCAGAGGGAGCAGTCATTAGAGCCAGCATCCTATGAGTCAAGGCCCCCAGCCCCTCCTCCCCCAGGCCCAGGAATCCAGGTTCCCAGCCCCTCCTCCCTCAGACATAGGAGTCCATCCCCCAACCCCCTCTCCCCCAAGCCCAGGAGTCCAGGCCCCCAGCCCCTCCTCCCCAGGACACGGGAGATTAAGCTGTGGCCCACTCCCAGACCCAGGATGCTGGGTCCCTCACCGCTCCATGTGGATCTGCCAGTAGGCAGGGATCGTGACTGGCACAAAGGTGAGGGGTGGGATGTAGTGTGCTGGGTCCGAGCCACCCAGGACCAGCTCTCCTCCATCAGCCATTTCAAGGTCTCTGCAGAGGCAGAGTGCTGTCAGTGTTTCCCCCGCCAGCGGCAGGAGTGGCCGGGGAAGGGGCTTCCTGCCGGTGGGGCGGTTCTGGGTTCTAGGTGGGGTAGTGGGATGCAGACCTAGATGCTGGACTGGAAGCAAGGCAAGAAGTGGAGAGAAATGGGGCATTTCTTTGTGGAGGTTAGGACTTTAGGGTCTTGGGGGCTTCCTGAAGTGGGCTGTGGAAGGTAGAACTTTTGGAGGGAAATTTCAGTGGCGCATTGGGGTTTCTGAATTGGCTCTGGAAGGTGTGATTGTGTAGGAGTGGGGTAGCTTCCTGGGTGGATGATGAGACTTTCTAAATTGCATGTCTCACAGTTCAGAGGCTGACATTCCTGAGTTGGCTGAAAGTGATGGGAAGAGGGGCAGGGACTTCTTGGAGGCGGGAGGGCAGGATCTACTAAGAGGTGGGTGGGGCTTCCTGAGTAAATTGGACATCAGGGTGACTGAAGGGGCATAGGATTTTCTGCGTTTGGGGGAAGGGCCTCCAGAAAGGAAGGTGGGGACTTCTGGATGGTGGGTGGGACTTTCAGAGCATAAGGTTGAGCTTCCTAAAAGGTAGGTGGGGCTTCTTAGATTAAAATTGGCAATTCCTGACTTCTGGTATGTGTTCTCAGATGGAACTTGGCCTTTCTTTACAGTGAAGAGGGGCGTTCCTAAGATCGGGATTTGATTGGGTAGAGCATGGAATTTCCCGGTTTGAATTTGAAACATGGAGCATTTAAAATGATGGTGAGTTTCTTTAGTAGGTCTTAAGGTGTTGCTCAGTGAGTGGGACTTCTGAGTAGAGTTCAGGTGTTTCTTGTATTGGGAAGGTGTCTTCCTGAGTGGAGGATACAACTTCCTCTGTTGGGTGGATGACTTCCTAAGTGGAGAGTAGCCCAGTGACTTCCTGAATGGAGGGCGGGACTTCCTGTATTGGTTAAGGGACTTCCCAAAGGAGGACAGAACTTCCTTCTTGGGGCTAGGACTCATAGGAAGGTGGTCCCTCCCCGTTACCTGTTGAGGTAGAAGGAGAAGACAGGCTTATCCAGCAGCCCCTGGTCCACCAGTATATCCAGCGGGGGCCGAACTCCATCCACGGCCAAAGTGGGAAAACCGAGGCCCAATATCCCATCGAAGCGGGCAATAGTGAAGGTCAGGCTGGGCTCCCACAGAGCTTCCCCGAAAACCACTGATGCGCCCGTGATGCCCCCAATCTAGGGGTAGATTCAAATGGGGCAGGTTACTTCTGGGAGGACATTACCCACATATCCCTGAGATCTCCCAAAACAAGGCATGAATCCCAGGTCTGGGGACCTCTGGAGACAGCTCCAGCTGCCTAGGAAGCCTTGCCTCCTCACTTGAGAACGCAAGACCCTGCTTGGGAAGCCCCGCCCCAACCTGCCCAGCCACGCCCCTTTAGCCAGGAACCCCTGCCCCTCATTGGGAAGCTCCACCCCTTTTACCCAGGAAGCCCTGCCCCTCATTGAGAAGCTCCACCCCTTTTCCCCAGGAAGCCCTGCCCCTCATTGGGAAGCTCCACCCCTTTTACCCAGGAAGCCCCACCCCTTATTGGGGCCCCGCCCCCTTTACCCAGGAAGCCCCGCCTCCTCAAGCCCCTCCCTAAGCCAGACAATCTTAGACATTGGGCTTCGCCCAGCCTCAAGCCCTTCTGGAGTCAGAGGTCACGCACAGTCAGCTTGTCCTCACTCAGGATGCCGTCTAGCCGCCCGGTTCCATATTGAATAGCAAACTTGGTCCCATTGGGCCGGAAGGAGCTGGAGGCTTTGGGGTTGAAGCGACGGTGTAACCCTAGGTCAGAAGGTCAGGGGGGTGTCACTGGGGGAGGGGAGTCTCCCCAGTGCCTCCTGCCCCTCTGACCTTCTCACCTGTGAGGGTGTGTTACAAGAGAACGGTCCTCGGAAACCCTGGGGAAGCCAAGCCCAGCCCCACCTTCCCCTTCACCCCCACTCAGCCTTAGCCTCCCCCATGAAAGCTCACAGCAGGGCAGACTGAAGAAGTGGCATCTCACGGACGGGACCCAGAGATTGGAGGAGCCAGTGTCGAAGACAACAGAGAAGTTTTGTGGGGGCGTCCCCAGCCCAATTTCCCCGTAATACTGGGCCTGATGGCAAAACAGGAGAGAGTGTGAATGAAGAGCTTGACGAGGGCAGCAGGGTGGGGCTGTGAGGGGCTGTGACTCACGTTCATGTAGTCAGAGAGAGGCACAAAGACGGACTTGTCCCCAGGGGATGGGGCCCCCAACCTGAGGGGCTTTGCTGGCTTCCCCCATCCCCTCAGTGGGTTCAGGGTCCTGGGTCCAGTATAGATTCGGCGAAGAGGGACCCTGTGGGAGAGGAGGATACCAATAGTTAGTATCTTAGGCTAGGTCTTCCTGGCGACCCTCTATAATGGACTTTCCCAAATAAGATATAATGACAATGTAAACATCTCCACGGCTCTACAAGAACAGTCATTACGAGAAACCCTACACTAACAACCTTCCAGGAAACCCTACCAAACCATGATGACACATTTCCCCCAAAGACTCTACAAGAGCAAACCAACCCAAACAGACCTTCCCTACAACCTTTCAGTAAGAGACATTTCAAATAATGTAAAATAAGCCATCCCCGGGGAATGGACATTCACAAAGTTTTCCAAAGACCCTAACATAAAACTAGCCTTGACAAAAATTCTTGCATGCTTCAATTCATGATTCATTCAGTCTTCATGAATTCAACTCACTTCATGGAGACTATTTCCCCCACCACTGGGGGAAAGAATGTAAGCACCAAATCCTAATTTCATTCTTTACACTAAAATATACTCCAGATATATCAAAGACTTCATGTGCAATATAAAATTATAAGAGCACTAGAAGGAAGTAAAATATTTAAATAACTCTGGGAAGAGGAAGTCTTCTCTAAGCCTGATACCAAGATGAGATATCATGGGGGGAATACCCGTGAGGTTGACTCTAAAATTATAAACTTCTGTGTACCCCCTCCATCCAACACACAAAGCTGTAAATAAAGTTAAGAGACAAAAAAATCTAGGAGAAATAATTACAAGTTGTATGTCTCAAAGAGTTAATATCTCTGATATGCAAAGAGCTTCTAAAAATAAATAAGAATAAGATAAACAACCCAGTGTTGAGAGACAGTTCTCCATGAGTCTCTTGTATTTCTGCAGAGGTGCTGACTGCCTTTGTCCGCACTGTCTTTTTAAGGATTTTGTTTAGTGAACAGCCTTGCAAGAGAGACAGTGTATCTCTCTGGAGCAAACAGCAGGCAGGTATATGATCCATTATAAAAGATTCAAGCTTCCCTAAGCTTAGGATTCTTCTCCTATAATGCACCTCACTGCCCTCTTTATTTTACCCTGTGGGAACTGGGGCTCAGAAAACACACAAATGTTGATACTCTGGCTACTCCTATTGCTGGGAGTAATAAAGTGTCCTTTGTCTCTGACCTGGGAGTCTTGTGTGTTTTACCAGCAGCCATGAAACAGCAGCGAGCTAACTTCACCGTTCTTGACATTCAGTAGGAAAATGGGCAAAGAACGTCCACAGGTAATTTTCAAAAGAAGCACAAACAGCCTCTAAACACATGGAAGGAGGTTCAACCCCAATAGTCATCAAAGAGATACAAACGAAAAGAACGAGAAACCTTTTTCGCCCTGGAGATTGGCAGAGAACTAAGAATACTCACTGTTGGCTGGAGGGTATAAAATGGTACAAACTTTCTGGAGGGTGGTTTGGTAATATGGGCCTTAAAGCTGTACACACCTTTTAACCCAACTCAATTTCAGTTCTAGGAATCTCTTCTGCAGGAGATCACTGGACAAGGGTACAAAGATGAGTTTATGAGGATGGGTCTGATTTTGAAAACTGGAGACCACCCGGTGGCCAACACTGGGTATGACTCTGCTCTGCTATAGAACAGACGTAGAATGGAACCCATTCAACCACAAAAAGGGGGAAGTAGCTGTCTAGGCCAGTGGTTCTCAAACCTTATCATAAAGCAGATCACCTAGAGCAGGGGTGATGGGCAACGTTTTTTGTAAAGGCTTTGCGGGCCACCCGTCTCTGTTGCAACTAAATAATTTTGTCAATATACACCAAAGCAGCCATAGACAACACATCAACGAGTTTCCGTGGCTGGGTTCCATTAAACCTTATTTGCAAAAACAGGTGGCAGGCTGCGTGTTTACCAACCCCGAACTAGAGGGCTAGTTAAAATTCAGAACTCTTAGTTTCTGATTGAGTAGGTCTGGGATGGAGCCCGAGCTTCTACATTTCTAACAAGTTCCAGGGTCATGCCAACGCTGTTGGTCCTGAGACAACACTCAGAGAATCACTGCTCTTTGCATTGACTTGGAAAATGGCCGTCACCTGTTAGGTTCAAAAAGCAGTTAGCAAACATCATGTGCAGTCATATTTTTGTACCTGCTGCAGTCACTCGGTGCAGGCCTGCCCCCTCCCTCACATCTTTGTCACCTCTGTGACTCAGTCTTTGAGAGGCTTAAGAATGTGAAGTGGCGGAAACGTTTCCTGGAAGGTACTCTCTTCCCCCTATCAAGAGTTCCGGGGGTGGTGGAGAGAAGAGAGGAGGGAAGGGAGCGATGGGGGGAGGTGCCAGAAGTCGTGGGGGAGGAGGGAGAAAGGTCACTGAGGTCCCCAGAACTGGACTTCTTGAGACCTAAACAGTTTGGAAGTTGCAAGTCTGGGGGAATTTCCATTTAAATGTCACAGACTTGGTGGGTCTTCAAGATCTGCTGGGGGGAGGTGGGAGTCAAATGTATGGAGACTCCAGTACCAGATCATCAGAGATCAGGGTGGAATCCACAGGGTCCTCCCAAAATCATGTCTGGAGAGGAGGGGGAGGGGTCCCCAATCAAGGGTCTCAGGGGTGCAGGATCTGGGGTCTTCGGGGATGTCAGAGTGAGAGTCCCCTTTGGAGATCTGGGAACCCAAGAGATAGGAGCCATGGATCCTGGGGTGCCAGGTTTGGGAGTCACTGAACTGGGGAGCCCCAGAATTGAAGGGAAAGAGGGGGAGAGTCTGTCCCAGGTTTGGGGGTGGTGGGGGTCCCCAGTACCGGATCAGGGTGGCCCTGGCGGGCTCCACGGCCAGCAGCAGTAGCAGCAGCGACGACGGAGACATCTCTGGGGACCCAGCTGTGGACCCAGGCGTCCTACGGCTCTGTTTTCTTTCCCCGGAGACTCCGCCCACTGCCAGGTTTCAGAAGTGACCAGGACATGAAGTCTCTGGGTGGGTGACGCGGGGGGAAGAGGGTGGTGTTTTTGGAGGGATGAGCAGATTATTTTTGTAGGGTCGCCAGAAGTATTATCCTGTGTCACTGGGTACCTCCCTCCCAACTTTGGTGGTGGTGGTGGGGGTCTTCTGCTCCCCCGCCCCCAATCCTTTAGCCAGTCTCGCTTTTACTTATAACTTTCACTTCACTTTTCTGAGACTCATTAACCACAAGGGTTTCCTTGGGCAAACGAAGGGATGGGCGGGGTCTTTGTGGAGGGTCTAGGGGAAGGGAGAGAGGGCCAGACTGGAGGCCCTCCACCCCATATTAAGTGGGGCTGCCCGAGTGTCAGGGCCCCAACTCTCATTGTTTTATTTGGAAAATACTGAAACACACACACCCGTAAAAATCGCCCGTAGCCCCGCCACCATCGAAAAAGCATAACAATAACTCACAGTGTCTCTCTGTCTCTCGCCTGCCCCCCCTTTCCCTAATTAAGCTTCTCAAACATTAAGGAGCATCAGAAAACTTAGTTAAAATGCAGGTTCCTGGGCACCACCCTCAGAGATTCTGATTCCAAAGGCCTGAGAGGGAGTCCAAGAATCTGCAGTTTTAAACAAACCAACTGATCACGGGGCACAAGCATGTCTGAGAAACTCTGTTCGATCTTTTTGGTTTTCTAGCTTAGACTGACATATCAATATCAGCCTGCACAGTTTTTTTAAATTTTATTTATTTATTTATTTTTCCCCCAAAGCCCCGGTAGATAGTTGTATGTCATAGTTGCACATCGTTCTAGTTGCTGTATGTGGGACGCGACCTCAGCATGGCCAGAGAAGCGGTGCGTCGGTGCGCGCCCGGGATCCGAACCCGGGCCGCCAGCAGCGGAGAGCGTGCACTTAACCGCTAAGCCACGGGGCCGGCCCAGCCTGCACAATTTTAAAAGTGAATAAAGACAGACTTTACTTATTGATCGGTGACTTTTTTTTTGCACTTAACCATATATCTTGGACTTGAAAAAAATTGGACGTAACATACCTATAGTAAAATGCACAAATCTTAAGTGTTCAGCACTGTGGCTTTATTTATTTTCCCTGACATATTATTATGAAGATTTTTTAAGCATATAGCAAAGTTGAAAGAATTATATAGTGAACCCCCATTACTCACCACCTAGATTCCATAGTTAACACGTTTTGCTAAATTTTCGTCATTACTTGTCTATCCAGCTGTCCATCCCTCTAGCCATCCAGCAAACCATTGCTTTTTATTATATATATTTCAAATAAGTTGCAGATATCATATTCTTCACCCCTCAGCACTTGAGCATTTACATTATCAACTTGATGGATTTCTACATATGTTTATGCCCCAGTAACCACCACACAGATCAAGATGTAGAACGTTTCCAGGTTTCCAGAAGGTTCTTTCTCACTGTCTCCTGGTCAGTGTCCCCCAAAGCTAACTAATACCCTGACTTCTATGACCACAGGTTAGTTTCACCTGTTCTTGAATGTCACATAAAATGAATCACATGAATTATTCTTTTTTGTCCAATTTTTATCACTCAATATTATGTATTTGCATGTTTTTAAAAGTCAGAGCATATAGATTGACCTCATTCTTTTTGTCTCAAACATTTAATTGCAGAAAATTTCAAACATACAGCAAAATTGAAAGAATTTTACAGTGAACACTCACATACCCAGCACTTAGATTCTACTGTTACCATTTTGCTATATCTGGGGCCGTCCGCGTGGTGTAGTGGTTAAGTGCGCGTGCTCTGCTGCTGGCAGCCGGAGTTCGGATCCCGGGTGCACACCGATGCACCGTTTGTCAGGCCATGCTGTGGCGGTGTCTCATATAAAGTGGAGGAAGATTGGCACGGATGTTAGCCCAGGGCCAGTCTTCTTCAGCAAAAAGAGGAGGATTGGCATGGATGTTAGCTCAGGGCTGATCTTCCTCACACACACACAAAATTTTCTATATCTGCTTTATCACATTTCTATCCATCTCTCCATTTCTTTATCCCAGCTAAGGAGCTCTTTCCCCTCCAGGGGACATTTGGCGTTGTCTGCAGAGATTTTTGTTGTCACAGTTGGTAGGGATGCTACTGGCCTCTAGTGGGTAGAGGCCAAGGAAGTTGCTAAGCATCTTATAACGCACACCACAGCCCCATACAACAACAAGAATTATCTGGCCCCAAATGTCAATAGTAGCAAAGTTCCTCAGTCCATCTCTGTCCATTCTTCAATCCAGCTCATTTTCTTGGTTTCCAACTAAGTTGCAGGCATCAGTATCCTTCATCCCTTATACTTCAGCCTACTTCATTCTTTAAACAGCTACATAGTATTCCAGACTATAAATGTAACACTATTTCTAAAACTTACCTCCTAGGTAAATTGTTCCCTCTTTTCAATATTATAAACAACGTTGCAGTAACCACCTGTATATGTATTTTTCTTTTTTTTGTGTGTGAGGAAGATCTGCCCTGAGCTAACATCTGCCAATCCTCCTCTATTTGCTGAGGAAGACTGGCCCTGGGCTAACACCCGTGCCCATCTTCCTCCACTGTATATGGGACGCCACCACAGCATGGCTTGACAAGCTGTGCGTCAGTGCGCGCCCGGGGTTCTGAATTGGCGAACCCTGGGCCGCCGCAGCAGAGCGCACACTTAACAGCTTGCGCCACCGGGCCGGCCCCTGTATATGTATTTTTCTGCGTATTTGTTCCATAATATCTGTGTGTCAATTTCTAGAACTACAATTGCTCCAACAATGACCCGATGTAAGTTGTAGATTTTGAAACATATTGTTTAATACCCCCCCAAAGAGCTTGTAATGATGTACCCTTCCAAGCAGGGGCAATAAAATCCCAATTTCCCCACAGCCTCACAACTGCTACATGTCATCCAACGAGTTTTAAAAAAAAGGCTTTTTCATTGTTGTTGAAATGTTAATTTCCCTAATTGTTAATGCAGTTGAAAATTTTTCTATCTCTTTTTTTGCTATTTGTATTTCTTCCTTCAGGAATTTCTTTTATCTTCTTGTACAGACATACAAACATACATAACCACACACAGAGATGAAACACTTTGAGACTCTTTTAAAATAAAATCTTCTTGATTCGTCAATTCTAAGCATTCTCCTCTGCCCTCCCACTATGAAAAGTAAAGACGTAGCTCTTTGCTCCCTCTGCCCATGCTGCTTACACACACTATCCTCTTTCCTCTTGAGCATAGTTATGTACTAATTTTGGTTAGATCAATACTCAGCATTTATTATCATTTTTCATCAGGAAAATGCATATTAAAATCATAATGCATGGGCCAGCCCCAGTGGCCTACTGGTTAAGTTCGGCACATTCCACTTCGGTGGCCCGGGTTCAGTTCCGGGGGCACAGAACCACACCACTCGTCTGTCAGTGGCCATGCTGTGGTGGTGGCTCACATACAAAAAGAGGAAGATTGGCAGTGGATGTTAGCTCAGGGCCAATCTTCCTCAGCAAAAAAAAAAAAAAATCACAGTGCGGTACCACTATACTCTCAGCAGAATGGCTAACATTAAAAAACTGACAATGGGGGCCGGCCCGGTGGCACAAGCGGCTACGTGCACTGTTCCGCTGCGGCAGCCCGGGGTTCGCAGGTTCGGATCCCGGGCGTGCACCGACGCACTGCTTGGCGAGCCATGCTGTGGTGGCGTCCCATATAAAGTGGAGGAAGATGGGCGCGGATGTTAGCCCAGGGCTAGTCTTCCTCAGCAGAAAGAGGAGGATTTGCAGATGTTAGCTCAGGGCCAAGTCTTCCTCACACACACACACAAAAAAAACCTGACAATGACAAGTGCTGGTGAGACTGTGGAGCGACTGGAACTCTCATACATTGCAGGTGGGAATACAAAATAGTATAATCATTTTGAAAAAAATGCCTGGCAGTGTCTACTAAAGCTGAACTTTTATGCATACTCCTTGACCAAGCAATTCTGCTCCTGGGTATGCCCAAGAGAAATGAGTACTTGTGTCACCAAAAGACACACATAAGACCCAGCCCTGATGGCCTAGTGGTTAAAGTTCGGTGTTCTCCACTTCAGCGGCCCAGGTTCGTTTCCCAGTCACGGAACCACTCCACCCGTCTGTCAGTCACCATGCTGTGGAGGCAGCGCACATAGAAGAACTAGAAGAACTTACAACTAGGATATACAACCATGCACTGGGGATTTGGGGAGGAAAAAAAAAAAAAAGACACACATAAGATGTTTATAGCAGCATTATTCGTGACAGCCCCAAACTAGAACCCTGTGTGTCCATCAGCGTAAGAACAGACACACTGTGGTGTGTATTTATTCAATGGATGACTACTTAGCAATAAGAAGGAATGAAGTGATAATTTTCGTCTATTAACCAGGACGCAGGCTCTCACCAGACACCTAATCAGCCAACACCTTGATCTTGGACTTCCCAGCCTCCAGAACTGTGAGAAGTAAATTTCTATTATTTATAAGCCACTCGGTCTATGGTATTTTGTTATAGAGCCCAAACAGACTAAAACACTGTATGATTCTATTCATATTACGTTCAAGAACAGACAAAACGAATCTATAGTTTTAGAAATTGGATAGTGGTGATCCTTCAGGAAGGGTGTTGATGGGGAGGCAGCACAGGGCAGCCTTTGGGGTGCTGGAGCTATTCTATACCTCAGTCTGAGTGGTGGCTACATGGGCATAAACATCAGTAAAAATTCATCAAGCTGTACATTTAAGATTTTGCATTTTACTTTAGGTAAGTTTTACGCCAGAAAAATTTTAAAACAGAAATATAGAGATGCATGCCAGAAAAACAAACAAACGTTTACATTATTACAACTATGTAAATGCTATTTCTGTTTACAAAGATTGGAAAGACCTAGAGAAAAGCAGACATGGGAGGGTGTCCTAGGTAAC